GTAGTCTTCAACTTACAACAGTTCGTTTAATGACTGTTCAAAGTTACAACGACACTGAAACATGTGACTTATGAGTGTTTTTCACAGTTACGACCTTTGTAGCATGCCCATGATCATCTGATCAACATTCAGATGCTTGGCAATTGGTTCATATTTAGGATTGTTGCTGTGTCCCAAGGTCATATGATCCCCTTTCACAACCTTTTGACAAGCAAATACAATGGGGAAGCCAGATTCACTTAACAACCATGTGTTAAGGAATTCACAGAGTAACCCTTGAATAGCAAGGGTATGCACATGAAAGTGATTGAGAATAGTTATGAATAAACACAGCCAACACACAGATACACTGAGTTGTATTTACTTTCAAGAAATAGTAAGGCACAGTCCAATAAACAGTCCAGGTCATACACATATAAAGCAGGAGATAGCAAAACGACAGTCGAGGGATAATCCAATAACAAAGTCTTCTTACCAGTCGTCGTAATCATTCACAATAAACAGTTCTTCTGGATTTGCAAACAGTAGCATACAGAGATATCAGAGAGCAAGAACAGCAAAGAGAAACAAACCATGTTTCTAGCTCCCTCTTAAGGACATTGGCTACAGAGCTAACCAATCAGGACACAGTATGATGCAATTCAGCAGTCTTAAAGCTACATTGATAGTTTATATATTGCCAACCCAACAAGTTAAGCAATAATCATTTCCTAACACCATGTATCAACTGCAGTGATTCACTTAACAACTGTGGCAAGAAAGGTCATAAAATGGGGAAAATTAACAAATGTTTCCCATTTGTGATAGGAGGTATTACATAGCATAGTTATTTTACTATGAGATGGTTTACGGCACGGGTGTCAAATTCACCGTGTCACGTTGCCGTGCACAGAAATGTTGGGCTTAATTGTGGTAAGTCGAGAACTACCTGTAAGAGTTACTCTATCTATGGGGGAAAGGTTTTTTAAAAAAATATCTATCTATTCTAAAGAAACTCACAAAGTTTCAGTTGTTTACTTCCTCTGAAACTAAGCGGTATTTTAACAGAGATTTTGTACAATGAAAATTGTAGTTCTGAATTTTGTTTTGTGACATCAGTCCCTATCATCCTTCCATGCCACACAATCTGGGAAAATTTTAGAGGTTTTATACCAAAGCAGTATTAAGTATAAAAAATTGGGGACAGAATGCTTTATGATTCAAATGATAACCTGGTCATGTTATTGAGGCTGACATCTTGAAAAATGTAGTTGAGACAAATAAATGTTCAACCCCATATGGGTAATAAACTATATATCCAGAAATGCTTTATATGGTCAACCCATCTTGCTGAATATAGCTTTGTGGTTAAAGAGAAATTGAACTAGCCTGGGAAAAGAGGAAGAAGGACCTACTTTTTAGTCTATAGGGAAATGACTACCAGTTAATTTTTCATGCCTTGATGTCAAAACAACAAAACCTGTAATGTTCAAATGCTGCTATAAATTGTCACAGAACAACTTAACTTAACAACTTAAAAGATAGACACTCTTGTAATTCTACAGAGTATGAAAACAGTGCAAAAATCATGGACACACACACACACACACACACACACTGTACATTCTAGAAAAAAGAACAGAGAAAAGCTAATCAGATCCTATAGTACTACTTATACTAAATTTTAAACAGAAGAATAAACTAAAATAGAGCAAAAAAGAACAAAAGAAAAAATGAAAGAGAGACTAAAAATGCATTAAGGAAAAGAAGAAAAATAGAGAAGAAAGAAAAAAGAAGTGGCTTTCAATCTTCTTTACAGCAGTTACAATTATAAATTGACCTTTCTCCCTAACATTACATCACGACTCTTTTTTCAATAATGCCTTCTATCTGGTCATCAAAACCATAAATCCTGATCCCATAATATTCTTCTAGTAAAGAAAGTTACCTCTTGCAACATGTCTAAAATGACCTAAAATCAGAAGAAACTCAAGTTTTATTAAAAAATTAATCACCAGCACTATATGTATATAGATATGTATGCATGCATGCATGCACCCATGTTTCCCCGAAAATAAGACTGGTCTTATTTTCTTTTCTGCCCCAAAATAAACACTAGGGCTTATTTTTGGGGGGTATCTTTTTTCCCCATGTACAGGAGGCCCACTTCTGCTTGCTTGCAGTGGAGCAGGACACGAAGCTTGCTAGCACCGCCGCTGTGAGGTAGAGGAAGATGGAGCTGCCCCACACACCCTGCATTGGCTTACCTCAGGTCCCCTGGAGCCAGGCCACCCATGCCCTGATACCTGCCTCACCTTGCATAGGCAGATCCAGCAGCCCCATCCACCAGAACTCTGTGTGGCCCATTTCTTCTGCTTGCTCACAGCCACAATGGAGCAGGAGGCAGAGCGATGTGCCAATGCCACGGCCACGAGGCAAGGCAGGGGTGGAGCTGTCCCATGCACCCCGCACTGGCTTACCTCAGCGCCCCAGCAGCCAAGCCACCCACACCTGCCTCGTCTCGCGGCCACGGCCATGGCCCCAGCACACAGCTCAGCCTCCTGCTCCATTGCAAGCAGAAGTAGCAGGCTGGTGTCCACATGGGCTCCTGCTGCACATAGCTGCTGGTGCTGCCGTCACAAAGCAGGTGTTGGGGCATGGATGGCTTGGCTATGGGGGCCCTAAGGTAAGCTGGTGCAGAGCGTGTGGGGCAGTTCCACACCCCCGCCTCGCCTTGTGGCCATGGCACCGTGAGCAACCAGACGGAATGGGTGGGTGGCTGCGCAGGCTTATTTTGGGAGGTAGGATTTATATTAGGTGCAAGTGTAAAAACATGCTAGGTCTTATTTTCTGAATAGGTCTTATTTTGGGGGAAGGAAAGTATGTATGTATGTATGTATGTATGTATGTATGTATGTATGTATGTATACAATTATTTGTTGACCACCCACTCTGACAAGGACTCAGTAATAATCAAAGCTCCATAACATCTGACTGTCCCAGAAAAAGCCTAGTATAATCTATTCTCTGTAGAACAAGTCTTTCTTTAGAGGCACTACTTACTGCAAGTCACCGGGTTTTCCAAAGAGCATGGTCTGCTACTAAGAAACTGCATCTTCAGCTGCTCTCCACAATCTTTGGAATGGCAGAGATCCCCCGTTACTCCTCTAAAAAATTGCAGGGATTAGTCCAGATCTGAGTGGATAAGATTCTCAGAGACTCAACAGAATTCATGCTGTATTTCCATCAAGATGAGGTTGCAGGACTGTCATTTAGGAATCTCCAGGTGAAATATCTTAAACCAAGAAACTCCATGTCCAGAACTCTGTTAGCACTGTTCGATTTCCAGGCTGGAGACTTCTATTATTCTAAACTATAAGCAACTTCTACTTTACTTTGTTATTTTGTTTAACTTCGTTGATTGATTGTTTATGTGCCATCAAGTCAGTGTTGAGTCTTAGCGATCACATTTTACAAAGATGATTTGTTCCTAAAATGGTCCTTTAGGTCTTCCAACTGTTCACCCGTCACTGCTGTAATTGAACACATCTATTTTTCTGCTGGTTATCCTGTTTTTCTCTTTCCTTGCACCTTTGTTTGTATTATAATCTTCTCTAGGGAGCTAGGTGTCCAAAATATGATAATTTGAATGTGGTAATTTTTGCCTCAAATGAGAACTCTGGGTTGATGATCCATTTGTTCATTCTCTTGGTTATTCATGGTATTCTCCGGAATCTTCTCCTTCATCAGAGTTCAAAAATGTTAATATTCTTTCTATCCTGCTTCTTCAAAGTCCAATTTTTGCTTCCATAGAGCGTCACAGGGAAAACCACTGCCTGCATGATTCTGAACTTAGCTACAGTACTTACAGTTTAAAAGCCCTTTTAATCCCTGACTTTGCTCCTTTCATCTGTTTATTCAACACCCTTAATGGACTCTTAATAGAGGCATATTACTACAAAGGCTTGTGAAAAGTCCACTTAATTATCCCAAATAGATGCATTTCCCCACTAAAGATTACCTATGACCTAGCATTGACATTCTTTCAGGATAACTGACTTCCTTCACTGTAAGGAAACTGTTCCTTGACTGCAACACTAAATCCACTTTGGCAACGTATTTGGGACAATCCTTTGTCAATTTCCTCAAGAAAGTCTACCTTTCTACTGTATTCTTCAGTTCAGGAAGAGGTTTCTTTCCCTGCTCAAAGAGTCAGTCTAAATTATAACTACTCAGGTTTACACCTGAATTTCTATTACTTATAATTTGTTAAAGCTAGAAATAGGTGGTCTTTCATATCTAGAAAGACACAACTATCGTCTTGCATATAACATACACTCACTTTTCTGTCTAATCAGCCCCCTTGGGATCTATGCATTCAACAGGGTTAATTTGTTCAGCAGCAATACAACATCAAAAAAGCCTCGCTGACAGTTGTTTAGGCATACTATTTGTTATTATATTTATCTTCTATCTTTCTTCCAAGAGGTACAAGATAAATCGACTCCCAAATGTGATCATTATACTACCTCTGTAAGGTTAGTTAGACAGAGCCATGACGACTACAACAGAGATTTGTATATAAAGCTTCTAGCCCTGTGGGTGATGTTTTGATTAGAGAGAGCGGGCTTTTTGTAGTCACAGGATTTTGCCTTTTTTGTTTTCTTTGTTATTTCTTTATTATTAGTAAGTCACTCAGAATTATTTTGGAGTTGGACAGCTTCTAAATCTCTGAAATAATTTTTTTTAAATCACAATTTCTCTTATCATTGACCAATAGCGGGACTTAAAAGACTTGTTAATAAATTTCCAGTTAAGATTAAATATACCACTCACAATGTGTGTTTCAGGTTTTTTTTATCATCAAAATCCTGACAGCAACAGACTTCATGTAACATCCCTTATATTAGAACTCCAGACCAACTGTCAACTCTCAGACCTCTTAGCAATGGCCAAGCTGGGGAATTCAAAAAGCTGAAGTTCATACATCTGGATTTGGAGAAATTGGGGAAGGCTGCCTTGTATGAATTGTTCATCCATTGTAAAGATAAACTTCTAGAAGTTTATCTGGGTCCCCAAAACAAGAACAGGACTGTTTTGAAGGTAACACCCATTCTCAGGAAGACACACCCTGTTAGGCAGTAGAAAACTAGTATTTCCTCCAGAAATATTTCAAACATTGGAGGACCTTACTCTTTTACATTACTATATTTAGATTCTTATGTTGTTGTGTTATTCAATTGAAAGTCACAAAAATCTAACATTTTACTTTTTTCTTAGATTATATTATAGTTATAACTCTATAAATATGAGAACTGTGGGAAAAATAGGTCTATTTCTGTTCAAGAATAATTATTTGCTTTCTTTAATTTGTAAAATCAATTTTATTTAACATTTTGTATACATGAATAAGGTACAGGTAGTTCTTGCTTAATTATGCTAATTTGGGCCAGAGTTTCCATCAAAAAAATGATATGGTTGTAAAAGGCAATATCACATGACGGTGTCATTTATCATTGGCAACCTGGCATTCCGGTTGCTTTCATTAAATGAGGACTATGCAGGTCCTTAAGCAAGACACTCATGTGTCTGCAACTTGAGACTTCCTGCCAACCTCTCCACTGACTCTGTGGGAAATCTTCAGGGAAGGTCACAAATTATGATCACATGACTATAGGACACTGCAACAGTTAGGTTAGAATCTAGGCTGGTTGCTGAGTACCTGGATCGCAATTGTGTGACTTCAAATGTGCTGTGATGACTGAAAATTCTAGGATCTGTCATAAGTACCTTTTGTTCATATTTTTAAAGTGCCTGAAATTCTCAGCTATTCCTACTGAAAAGGTGTACAAGAATGATGCTGGTACCAAACTCCCAAAGGAAAATGAGGAAGAAAAGTAGCTTTCCAATATATTTCCCATGCATTCACAATTGTTCTACCTTTAAAAGTAATAAGATAAAGCTTTTATCTCTTGGCTTTAAATGACACACAGGATAAGTCTCTGAAGGAATAAATGAATAATATCACAATAAGCTACGGCAGGCCCAGTGGGCATGATGGAGAGGCAGTCCAACAGCAATCTGTCTCATCAGGAAAGAGGATTAAGATTGAAAGCATCTTTTCCCAAGTTCTAGAACCAGTATAAACGTTTAAAGGAAACCCTAGCTGATGAATACACTTGCTTTTTGCTTCATGTGCATGAAGTTAATCATTCACAAACTAAAAGCAGCAAAAATGTAGCACACGAATGCCATGGACATATGTATATTGAACCAAATACCCTTGATCAACAGTCTAATTGCTAAACAGTTGTTAGAGGCTCTGATTTGACAAAGCAGGTAGCTCAAGCCCAGGAAAGTGAATGAAATCCAAACATTCTTAATGAAGAACAAAAACTGACAGCCCTAAAACTTAAATCACATTGTTAAACTGTGAGCCAGTTTTATGCATTTAATTTAAATCCCATAGATTTCAGTTGGCCTTGAATCAGAGGCAGCAGTAAGGAAATTAAATACCAAGAATCACAAGAATCACAAGTCACACTTAGACATGGATTATTGAATAAACTACAATTGGTTGTTTCTACACAAGCGCTATTTTATACCATATTATTTGGATCTGACAATACATGATATTAAAATGGCTCAAATTTCCTCTTCTATGCAATTATACAATTCTTATACAATGGTTAAGATGCCCTAATGGGCTTTGCTGTCCATCAGGTCACCTTAGACAGATCTAGGATTTAAGTTTATCTAGGATTTAAACCTTCATTGCAAGCTTAGATGGGGTTTCTATTAACTTCACTGGCTTGTCTAATGTGGCCTACCTACAAGAAAACTAGGGTTTGTATCTTGACAACAGTCCTAAGGTGGGGGGGGGAATCCCTTGCCCTATTACATAATAGGGATACAGGGATACAGCTGGAAATCTTTGATATGACACCTGGGAGGAAATGAAGTTTTGTGGGTGCTCCAACACTGGAGGTTTTTAAGAAGGGATTGGACAGCCATTTGTCATGGCCTAAGATACCTGGCAAGTGCCAAAGATATTCTCTTGAAGCCACTTTGCTAGATTATTGCTCCATGGACTAGATAGACTTCTAATTCTCCCCACTTTGTCCTTTCCCATCCAAAAGCATTCCTGCTATAAGCACCTGCTATAAGGAAGTGGGAATTATCTCATTGAGCTCACATTCACATTACCCAAGGAAGAATTATTTTGTCCTCCTGGCATTATTTTTTTTCTAAGCCATGAGACAATTGACAGGGCTACCTATTCTAAGCTTACTGCTATTAATTATGTTCTCCTTTGTCCAACTGGATCCTGGCCATTTCTCCACAAACTGAAAGCATGCAAATGCAAGTAGATAAATAAGTACCACTTTGGTGGGAAGGCAACAGCATTCCACGTGCCCTGGCATATAATCATTTTTTTTTAAATTTGATTTATATGCCACCCTTCTCCGGAGACACAGGGTGGCTTACAATGCATTAAGCAATAGCCTTCATACTTTTGTATATTTATACAAAGTCAGCTTATTGCCCCCACAAACTGGGTCCTCAATTTACCTACCTTAGAAAGGATGGAAGGCTGAGTCAACCTTGAGCCTGGGGAGATTCAAACTTACAGTAATTGCAGGCAGCTGGTGTTAATCACAATGCTATCAGTCTGCTGAGCCACCAGGCCCTTTACCACCAGGCCCTTTTAGTCATGCCGATCACATGCCCACAGAAATGTCTTTGGACAATACTGGCTCCACTGGCGAAGAAATGGAGATGAGTTGGAAATGACTAGATAGGGGAAAAACTTTACCTTTATCTTTTGAAGCAATACATCACAGACAGAACAGAAATTATGAGCACAGTGTTCTTACTACATAGATTATCCACCTAGGCTTCTGTTTGAAGCATTATACCGGTAGCAGACTATACAATAGAGAGTTTCCACTCTTTGAGAGTCTGGGTATTCTCAAATGAGTCTTCTCAAAGTGCCCCTAAACTAAATGATGTGATTTGGAATGAAATATATTTGCAGTGGGAATGGATCCTGAGTAGAAGTGTACTGAGTTGAGCGATGAGCTTCAGTCATATTTAGCTGTCATGGAATATTTTTGCAAATCTCTTTATAATTTTGCACCATCCTATTCAAACACTATAACAAGGACCTGAATGCAAATGTATTCCTATTCAATAAGGTCAGGGCTCAAATCCATATGATAAATAAGCATTAATCCTCCTTAGAAAAAAATCTGCTTCTTGAACCGGCTCAGGTTGAAGTTTATTTTTGTTTCTATCTACAGTAAAGACCTTGAAAAAGTGAAAAAAATACATTTTCTAAACATGAGACCCCTGCATTTTCCAAACAATACCAAAATGTTGCATAGAAGCTGTACTTTCACAACATACAGCAAAGTCAACCTTTTTATTCCGAATAGAAAGAGGAAATCAAAGGCATACATTTTGTTCTCCCTCCACATTAAGCTGTACTTACTGGAATTTCCCCTTCTTCAAAAATCCTGTTTTCTTTTTCTTTTTTTTTTTGCATGCATTCTTCTACAAAGCAAATAAGAGTCCCATTATGAATACATAGAGAATGGCCAGGTGAAACAATGGAAAGGTGATCAAATAATGGCTAGGAGAAACAATGGAATGAGTCCTTCCAGTAGGATCACTGTGAGCGCTCTACAGGTACATATCTTCATTGTACACATTGAATGTGTACCAGTTCACTGGTACACATTGTGTACCTGTGAACTGATTTTCCTAAGGTGGCTGTATAGTCAAAATGGCACAATCTGTGGATGAATTCCAAGGGTTGAACAATAGGGGGAAAAAAGGTCCTGAAGGGAGAAGATGCAGCAAAGCTCAGGGAAGACTGGAGATGCTCAAGAGAATATGGGATGCTAGCTGGCTGAGGTAAGAATAAAATCAATAAAAGCCAAATGGATACATTTAGTCAGTGTTCTATTGATTAAATAATATAGTCCATTCTCTTGTATCACTCTTTCTAACAATGACTAATTTGTTCCTACCAAAAAAAGTGAAGGGAAGAAGCAATTATCATTTATAGTTACTCTCTCACCCCAATTCACCTCACAGGGTTGTTGTTGTTGTAGGGAAGAGGATGAAAGATTATTAGATATGTTTGCTACCTTGAGTTATTTGAAAAAGTAATAAAAAGGAGGGATATAAATAAATAAAACAGTGTCTCAACCTGAAAGTATTTTTAAAGACATATAAAGTCATTGTGGATAGAATGTCTTAAGGGTACAAGCACAGCCTATATGAAGAATACCTGTGGCTCCACCAATATCTTAGTGAATCCTTAAGTGTGTGTGTGGTGGTGGGGGGTTCCCTTTGTAAAGGAAAAGTTGGTTTGGCCCCTGAAATGCATGCCTCTTTCACAGTTGTCTGGCACCTGAAGCAAAAGAAATCTAGAGGAATAGGAATGGGTGCAACAATCATTCTAATACCGGTATTCATAGACCAGAACCAATTCCAGCTTGGTGAAAGGATTACTGTAGGGGAAAAAATATTTACCCAAGCTGTGGTCTCACTTACATAAAATATTTATTTACATTAGCTTGGAACCTGATCCTGAGGATTTGGCTGAAAGAATAAAAACCCATTCGGTTGCTATAGCCACATTTATAACTCCCTGGAATGGATAATGGCAATAAAGACCCTATTCAAGAAGGTGTTTTCTGAATTGAGCAAAACAACAGAGTTTTTATGAAACCTTCAGTGATGACTGAAGTAGTCAAAGAGAAGCAGATGACTGCGAGAGGAACCCTTGAACCAGCCCTCAAAATGCAGTAAGGTAAGAAGCACATTATAGGTTTCATCTGGCTTTGCCTCATTATCTCTGCCTGCCATTTCAGAACCACAAACAGTGGACAGGACTTCAGAGAGAAAAGGAGAAGCAGCACTTTTCAAAGACAATGTAATGCTGAACACAAACTTCATTATCCACAAACTTAGAAGGGGGTCCACAATCCTTGAAGCAAAGCCCAAGGAAACCAGCTAAGCTGAACCATTTAACAGCTTTTATTTCTCAGATAGTGTAGTCAAAAAATATCAAACCAGATCATTAGCAAGCTGAGTGTGTACAAATCTCCTTTTATAGAGAAACTGCATTCTGTCCTAGACTGCGAAGGGGCAATGTGAAATAATTTCCATGCTGTTGCCAAAAAAATTATGTGAACATGTTCAAAGAGTTATCCGTCTGTGTTTGACTGAAAGGAGTCTTCACCATTTAAAAAAAGTATTCTGTTCCTAAATGTATGCATAACTTTCATATCATTTTAGTTGTTTTCTGCACCCGACTCTACTATGGTAAGGCTTTCTTGGCTGTTCCCTTTGCAGCATTGCTCCTTCCCAAATTCTCATCCAGCAATTTGGTCTCCCAACCCTGCCGCATCCCACCCAGTCCCAGTGCAAAACACAGGTCACTTCATATGCTTGCAAGTCACACCAAAGTAGAGCAGTCAACACCAAAAAAGACTGTCCAGTTAAAAGAGCTGTAGAGATGTTTTACTTCCTGTGATCTACTCTACACTGTAACTTTTTTTCTTCCTTTCTTGCTTCTCTCAGATAGGGAAACAATGCAAAATACTTGCCTTTAGCAGTAACGCTCACTGAGAACATTTCACCTCTTCAAAAACAAATGAACTCCAATTTGTCTCCAGCTGGTGAGCTTTGCTGGGTTTACATAGATTATCAAACAAAGAATGTTTTCCCACAGTACACCATGACTTCTACTTCACAGCAAAAAAAAACCTCTGTGTGTCTCAGGAAAAGGCAGCAGTGGAAGAAATCCACTAGTAATTTCTCAATATTAAGGCATATACATTTGTTCCGACAACATTCCAGAAATTCAATTTCCACATTTACGCTTACATAAACTGCTACTAGAGTTTAAGTATCAACTTCTCCAGACTTCAGAGTTCAGTATTTCCCAGCTTTATTGGAAAGCACAATTTCTCAACTTTTCTTTCAGAGGATCAAAGAAATGGGAAGTGGGGCAAACTATTTTAATTTTGTACATATTGATACTTGGCTATATGTCAATATTAATACCTCCCAAAACAGCCAGGTATGGAAAACCTAATCAAATAATCTCTCCGTTTGAAGGAAACAAATGTCCAGTCAGTGATCAATTTGGGCTGGATTATCTACTTGGTTAGGCTTCTTCTATCTATACTATTTCTCTCTCCTTTTGCCTATCTTTTTTGGCATTACCTCTTCAGGTCTTAAAACACCTTCCATAATTTTGGGGAAAACATTTTCTCTCTCTCTCAAAATACACACGCCAAAGTTCTCCTGTGAAATTAGGAACAAGAGTTGCAAGCCAGCACACAAATTCTAGCGACCCTGGACTTATGCCTCACGGTATATGTATGTCCCACTCAAAAACTGCTCCAAAGCCACTGGGTATAACCCAAAGGTTGAGCTCAGAGGGATTCAGTTTCAACTTCCTTGCATCCCCAAGACTCTTAAAAAAAGTAACTGTTTAATAGCATATCTCCTTTTGCGGCTGGTAGCTTGTGGAATAAGAAGCACCTAAACCCTTTAAAGTAAAACCACTAAACTCTTCGCCGGTGTTGCGGCAAAAGATGGACAGGGCTGGCTTGTGAAACTTAGGCTCCCCTATACTTCACCCACTTTTTTTTTTTTTAGGGGCGCCATCACCTCCTAGAGACCTACCTCCTTACTAAAAGTCAAGGGTCCACTGCCATTCCGTCGTCCTCCAAAGTGGAGCGCAAGTCGCCGGCAAGAGAGAGGGGGAAAAAAAACAAACCGGACCGGGAGGAAAAGGGGCAGGGCGGTCGGAGACGCGGAACCCCCTGCAGGTTGTTTTTTCCTTTTGACAGGCAGCGAAGAAAGGAAGCCGGTGCGCCGCAGCGCCGCCCCTCGGCTCCCACGGGGGGGGGGACTCTTTTCCGATTGGGCGCCCATCTCCGCCTTCCCGCCTCGACGCCACCGCCCTTCCAGGCGACGCTAGGGGAGCTTCACGCCCTTCGAAGGAAGCCGGGCAAGCGCAGCGTAGCTATACGTTTAGTTTCGGGGAGAGTCGTTCTTCCTACCTCCGGGGTCGTCGCAGAGGCGGAGGGATTTGCAGCCTTTTCCCGCGCGCCCCTCCGAGGGTCCTTTCGATGCCTCTTAAGGGCGAAGTGGCGCCCTTAAAGGGTCTCTCGTGACGTCACGGCTGACACGCCCGGGCTCCTGCCGTCGAGCTCCTTGGAGCGGGACTGCCGCGGTTTTGCCCTGGTCCGTTAGACGCCTTTTGAAAATATTTACACACCCCTCGCATCCTGGACATAAACTGTTTCAACTCCTACCCTCAAAACGACGCTATAGAGCACTGCACGCCAGAACAACTAGACACAAGAACAGTTTTTTCCCGAATGCCATCACTCTGCTAAACAAATAATTCCCTCAACTATTTACTCAGTTTGACTATTTACTGTCAAACTAATTACTAAGTCTGCACTACTATTAATCTTCTCATCGTTCCCATCGCCCATCTCCTTACACTTGTGACTGTATGACTGTAACCTTGTTGCTGGTATCCTTACGGTTTATATTGACTGTTTCCCAATGACTATCATTAAGTGTTGTACCTTATGATTCTTGACGAGTATCTTTTCTTTTATGTACAGTGAGAGCATATGCACCAAAGACAAATTCCTTGTGGTCCAATCACACTTGGCCAATAAAGAATTCTATTCTATTCTATTCTATTCTATTCTATTCTATTCTATTCTATTCTATTCTATTCTATTCTATTCTATTCTATTCTATTCTAGTCACTTTTTTTAATAGAGGACACATCTAAAAACTACGTTTAGGCCAAAGTGTATGAAGCGGAATTAAATCCCCAAGTTTTCTCACGGAATGCAGACAAGTCAAAACTTACCTATTCTTTCAATCCTGTTTATTCGAGGCATAATTTGACTAATGTTTCCAGGGACAGCAATTTTCAACCCTTGCTCTTCAGGGTAACACACCCCTCCTCAAAGACTCTTTAAAAGGATGCATATGACCAGCTGCCTGCAAAGAGTATAAACCCTTCCATTCCCCACCATCCAGTCAGAACAGAAGAAGCTTTTTGGACGAGAAGTGAAACGTCTTCAGAGAAAAACCAGAAAGTCCAGTTGCCTCTTGAAAATAAGAGGGCTTCCCCTTCCTCCTTTCCCCTGCTTTGACTGCCACCCATGGCAAGCCAAGCAGAGAAGAGTGGGTCTGAAGCGGCAGGGGCTGGCTCCTTTACTGCCAATGAGCAGCAGAAGGTCCTTGGCACCCAAGGGGGCCACCTCTCTCCTATTTTAGTGGAGACAGCATCCTTGTTCTGATGTCAGAATAGCAGTCCAAATTGCGGTCCCCCTGCTTTGAGCTGTCCTACTTTGTGTCATCTCCTGTCCTGGATTACAACACTTTAGTGCTGCCTGGTGCACCAAACAATCCCTTATATAGACTAATTTTTTTTAGTATGCTAAGCACTCACTGAACAGGTTCCCTCTGGATAATTTTTTAAATATACTGACATGCTGTCCTAGCTTTTGTCCTTGTGGATCAAGACATTTTTATTTGTTCCCATGGATGGGTTTCTGTATGTATGAATATTTTGGCAGTGCTGATTAGCTGATGAATAGTCAATACTTCCCACCTTCCTTCCTTACATACAGATACACCCCTCAGGAATCTAGCAATGAGTGAGTAAAATTGGATATCTATTATTTAGCCTGTCAGTCATCAATTTCTGGGCTATCCAAGTCTAGAATTATTTTGAATGGTTTCACAAAGAAAAACTAGTGAGAACAACATCATATGAAAAAGAACATCAGCCATCCAAAAAGAGAGTCAGTCCAGAAAAATATTTGCCCCATCCCCCAGCTTAAAAGTGTATGACTGCGTACTAACGCACTAAATCCTAATGGAAGAATTGAATTTTTAAGTTCTGTTTAAAGGCAGTCCTTAGGAGGTCTGTGCAAGTTGGTGAGGGGGGAAGTGTGGGCAGACAGGTATTGTTTCAGTGGGCAGATGCAACAAACAGATTTGTGTCGTGAATACGCCTCACCAAAATATGGGGCAAAGGATATGCAATAGTATGAATTGTGTTAATTCTCCCTGGGTCTCTAGTGGCTTAAACAGGAACACATGCACATTTTTCAGAATGGGAAGAACAGGAATAAAACTACTTAGAATATGAGATTTGAGAACAAGATAAAATGAGGTATTGGGAAGTAATGAGGTTTTCAAGGTATTCTGTACAGTTGTAAATATGGGGAAGGACTTCTGCTCTGAACCAGAGATGGTTGTGTGGTTTTCTCCCTTTCCCAGGGATTCCCTCTAGCATTTTGCTGCTCCTACTGAGCTTAGCATTTCTTTTACTATTTTGTCAAGATTTTGTCCGAAAACTGGCCACCAAAGGCACAGGTCACCAGTGTGCATTCTTTGCTTACAAAGTTGTTTGGAGTTGATAGATCATCAGCATCAAATTATCAGCATTAAAACTTATTTTTCTATTTTCAGGAAAAAAAAAATTCATGAGGTAGCATTTCTGACCATCCAGGAAATGTCTTCACAAGGGATGATGAGAATTCAGAAGCTTTATCACTTTGGATGCAGTTATAAGCTTGGTCCATATGGCATGCTA